ACATATAATAAATATATAATATACAAACCTATACAAATTTTACTTAAGACATCTTTTCAAGTTTTCGTATATTTTACTCTTCCGACAACAATTATTTACGCATATAAGCATGGATTACGTATGTACGGAAGCGTTAATAATTAATTCTCGAAAATGATATGTTGTAATATAACTTACACATAGTTAAATTCATAAAAAAATAATCTTTAATTTAATAAAAAAAAAAAATTTGAAAATTTAAGGAAATTATGGGTGGTGGGAGTATTTTGTTAAACAAAAAAATAAACAAAATTTTTTTATCTATAACTTTAAAATACTCTTGAAACCGTACAATTTTTGTTTAAAAAATTTTTTTCTAAAAAGATCTTTTATACTTCCGACGATATTCGCCTTAAAAAAAAATATCGTTTTTTTTTAAGGGATGTTTCACCTCTTAAACATGAGTTAGCGCACATATAAAAAAATACGTGTTTCTTAGATTTTCGTGTTTAACAACATATCTCATGGAGAATCAAATCGGTTCCGGAAGTTGTGGATCTTCCCTTTGTTAGTTTCATAAACTCAGTATTGTTTGTGCACATTGTGATGTTTAGTGCTGCACTGTCGTTTGGTCCATATGAACTATAAAACTTTTGTATTAAGTAAACATCTACATCAGGTGACAGTTCTACGTGTTAAAAAAATTTAAATTTTTAACTTTTTTTTCGATTTTAGTTTAAAGCAGAGCCTTCCAAATGGTCATGTGATCGTGTCCCCATCAAAATTTCAATAGTAAGCATGCCCCTCTCTATTTTACTCCCTCCAACGCTACCTTCTAGTCTTCTTGCTACACGCGTTTAGAGCCGTCGCAAGCAAGTATGCAAGTATAACTCTTAGGATTAATAAAAATCCCAAACAAAAATAAAATAAGTCATAAATATGGCTTCTTTTGCTTTTGTCTCTTTTTCGATATAGATATACATATCTATCTTTTAATGAAACAGTGCCTGACTGCTATACAAAATGATACATCGCGTCACCGCGCTGGTGCACAGCCACGAATAGAAGAGAAGGGTTGGACCCATGGTGGGGATAAGCACGAGCGGCCGAGAAGCAAAAGGATTAAGGGTCCGCGATGCCCGATTTGGAAGACTCTGATCTAAAGTCTATTGCAATACTACCAAATTTTGTGTCTATTTTAATCCTGTAAAAGGATTTTTTATTCTGTTCCATAAGTTCGGAAATTTATATCGATCTGCAATATTTTAATAATTTGACCACTCTAATATCCTTTTAAGGTATAAATGAACAGAAAACTGGTTACAAATCTAGCTTAATTTAATGCTTATTAAAAAAATTATTTCTTTATGATTGGGCAGGTTCATACAGATTTTGTTATTGAGGTCTAATGTATAGATTATAAGTATTAGGTGTTGGAATTAATTCGTAGCGTTTTACAAGAGATGGCACAAGCAGTACACTATTTCGTTGTTACCTATAGTTCTGTATACATTGTAAACATCTATCATAGGACGTCATTTGCCGTACATAACCTTTCTTGAAATCATAAATAACAATACTGTATAATTCATTGAATATGTCAAAATTTGTGCCAGATAAAGTGTTTTTGCGGGGAGTTTTGCTTCATTACTTTAATATGAACAAAAGTGCAGCTGAAGCTCATCGTATTTTAGTGGATGTGTATAGTGAACATGCTCTGGCTGAGCAAACGTGTAGGAAGTGGTTTGCACGTTTTAAAGCTGGTGATTTCGACTTGGATGACAAGGAGCGACCTGGTCAGCCGAAAAAATTTGAAGATAACGATTTGCAGGCACTGCTCAATGAAAACTCATGTCAAACACTTAAAGAATTATCTACGTCATTGGAAGTTGACTTCTCAACAATAGGAAAACGTCTTAAAAGTTTGGGCATGATCCAGAAGGAAGGACATTGGGTCCCATATGAATTGAAACCAAGGGATATTGAGAGACGTTTTCTCACGTGCGAACTGCTGCTTCAACGGCAGAAAAGAAAAGGTTTTTTGCATCGGATTGTTACCGGTGACGAAAAGTGGATCCATTATGACAATCCAAAGCGCAGAAAGTCATGGGTTAAGCCCGGCGAACCATCAACATCAGTGGCAAAGCCCAATATCCATGGCTCAAAGCTCCTGCTCTGTATTTGGTGGGATCAGAAGGGTGTCATATACTACGAACTGCTAAAACTGCTTGAGCCGTGCATTGAAGCAAAAACAGTCGGAATACTTCGAAAGACACGATAAAGTCATCTTGCTGCACGACAATGCTCGCCCACACGTTGCAAAACCGGTAAAAACATACCTGGAAACACTTAAATGGGAAGTGCTACCGCACCCGCCGTATTCTCCTGATATTGCACCTAGCGACTACCACTTGTTTCGATCATTAGCTCATAGCTTGTGCGAGCAGAAGTTCACATCTTACGAAGATTGTACAAAATGGTTCGATTCCTGGATTTCATCTAAAGATGAACAGTT